CAGTAGCCCTTCCAGGCGCCCATTCCATTGAATCAAATGGTACGAGTACCCCATAAAAGTGAAGTAATTGCAGTCGGCTGTCAGTGGTCATTTTAGCCGTGTAGCAATGTTCTATCATTATATGGAGCTGTCCCTACCCCGTTTCCAAAGTTAAAAACCTGAACCCTTTTTCCGTGCAGTCATGCATGAATCGACAAGCAAAACTCGTGCACGTTCCAAATTCTCATAACGAATTGGTTATTGTACAGTAAAGCAAATTGTCTGCTGTTATATCTCAAAAAATCTGTTTCAGATTGTGAAAGTTTCTTCGCAATTGACGTTTTCGAATACTGGATCATCGGACGCAAATTATGTAGAGGTGCTACTTAGCAAGGAGGAGGACGAACATCTTTCCTATATCTCTGCTCAAGAGGGTAACAGCAAGGGAAAATTGAAAGTTTCAAAACAAAAAGAAGAGAAGAATGGATTCCATGTTTGTAAATCATTATCAACGATACGATGCTTTCTTAATCAATATCTTTTATCTTTCAGTCGTACAAAATCGAGCTGCTGAAGCAAGTGGGAAAGGGTGGTGAAGTAAAGTTGAAGGTTGAGTATAGACTGATCGAGCTTCTCGAGCCTTTACCGGCAAAAATTACCCAGAAGGAGAACCAGTGAGTGAGATATGCGGTTGTTTTTACTTACCTGTTAGCCACAGCTACAAGTTTTTTTTGCGGAGTTGGCCAGAAGTCTCTCTCTTCGGTTGTAATAGCAGCCTGAGTAAGACTTTTGCGCTTCATTTTATTCTGTTACCTCCCATACCAGCTTGTTGATAGACTTTTTGTAAGCATGGAATTCCCTGCACAGCATTTTTTGATTCCAGGTATGTCGTTTACAATGGCAGTGCACACTATGCAGCTGCTTATCCTGTTGGGCAAGAGAAGACGACAGTGAAGCTTGGCCCTGGTAAAACGCTATCTGTGTCGCAAGTATCACCAACCACCCAAGAAAATGAGAGAGTCGTTTATGGGCCGTACAAGGACCAACCAGCATTCAATAAGGTAGCTACAATGTAATCTTCGACGACACTGATTTGTAGTGTTACAGAAACCCATAAAAATTCATTATGAGAACAATGCTCCATTTGTGGTGGCAACAGTGGTCGAACGCACTATCGAAGTATCACACTGGGGCAACATTGCTGTGGAGGAATACGTCGAACTTGTGCACAAGGGAGCGGAACTCAAGGTAATTTTTTCCTTCTGATAAACTTATTTGTTCGTCGTATCTTTCACATGAGTGTTTGTATAAGGAGTGTAATCCATATTTGTTCGTTATCATGTAATTTATTTAGGGACCCTTCTCTCGCATCGATCATCAACTGGATCGTAGGGGACGTCGACAACCGGCTCTTCTGCATTTCACGGCAAGTTCCACTTCAAAGATTGCACTCTGCTTTTTTTTTCGAAATCGAACTAGGCCAAAATCTTTTGCTGTATTTAGGTTCTTTCTTGATCTCTTCTTGATCATTATTGACTGAGAAAAGGCTCGCCGCTGCCTTTTGCTCAACCCACCTTTGTCAGCTAGGCTTTTTTGCGTTATAGCATCGTGACATAGAAACGCGTAGTAAGTCGTACTGAGTACCATCTTTTCTAACTCGCATTCATAGTTCTTGCGTATTTCTGCATCATTATAAACAGAGCTCGGAAACGGAAGAACGCTGAGACGTTAGATTTGTTATCAGCCTGTACACGTTTGCTTCAAAGAACCCTTTTTTTGTCGAAAGGCTCGAATTTACCCATTTAGACAATTTTGCCAGCGTCCGCGAAGGATATATACTATAGAGATGAGATTGGAAATATATCAACGTCAGCTGTGCGTCTTCGCGCTGACTCTGTTGATGTTGAACTGAAGCCGAGGTAAAGATCGCTTTATTCCAGCCTGTGATGATACTTCATTTCTTTCTGTTCAGATTTCCCCTTTTTGGAGGATGGCGCACTTCCTACATTATCGGTTATAATGTGCCTTCTTTTGAATATCTTTACAATAAGGGCAACAATTATGCGCTAAAAATGAGAGTCCTCGACCATATCTTCGATAACGCTGTAGTTGAAAAGCTCACGACGAAGATCATTCTGCCGGAAATGATAAGGTAATT